TGTACTAAATATTAAGTGCTTGTTTGGGAGTTATTTTTAGGAGAAAAAGAAGAAAGGAGAGGGTTTTATTTATACCTTTCTTTGTTTGTGAGCTTTAAACAATGGGAAAAGGGAATTGAAAATTTTTATAAAATTCTCCAAAACTCTTTTCATCCATAAAATTAAAATTTCTCCAATTAAGGGGATTTTGAGGGAAATATTGAAAATTACTTATCTTTCCTTAGCAATAAAATGTGAAAACTACATAAGTGTGAATCATTTTTTAAATGTGACACTACTAGAAAAGTCTCAAATACGACAGAAAATATTCCTTCAAAAAATAGTGATGGAATTTTCAACGAAAATATAATCTGTCAAAAATAAAGATGAAAACAAATTTCGTCGAAACTAAAGACAAAATTAGAGACAAAATAAAATTTGGTCATAATTTTCGACGGAAAAAAAATTTAGTCACAATTCTTGATGGAATCTAAATTCCATCGAAAGTTTCAACAAAAATATTTCAGTCAAGAATTTTGACGTAACACATTTACGTCAAAAATTTTGACGGGAAACTTTCTATAAAAAATTTAAACGGGAAACATTTCGGTCAAAAATTCCGACAGAAATATTTCCTTCAAAAATTTTGAGGGAATTTTTTTTCGGTCGCAAATATTTAAGAAATTTTTTTCGTGAAAACTTTAGACGAAAACTAAATTTTGTCAAAGCTTTTGACGGAAAAATTTTCGTTGAAAATTTCGAATCAAAAATTTCAAAAAAAACATGTTTCTGGGTAAAAAAAATTCGATAGAATTTCTTTTTGTTGAAAATTCAAAAAAAAAATATCATCAATCTGCGTCAAACCTCACCCCATGTCACCAATTTGCATGAAAATTTTCAACTAAATTTATTAAATAAATATTATGTTAATGCTTTATTTTTCTACAGAAAAGCAAGATTTTCGACAGGTTATTTTTCATCAAAAATTTTGACGCAAATTTATTCCGTTTAAAAATTTCAACAGATAAAAAATTTCATCGCCTTTCGATGAAAAAATTCCATTAAATAAGTATCCTGTGCTTTTTTCCATCAAATCTCTTCTTAATTGTGTTAGAGTTTCTAATTAATATGACTATTCTATCTTTTTTAGAATGTAGCAAACTTGTGTCATCTTCTTCCCCAAGCTTTGCCAGGGTGTTTTATCGTACAAAATTTCTCCAATTTTTTGACAAAACTTGTGAAGTTTTTGTAATAAAAAAATAAATTTTCTTTCCCGCTTGCTGCAAATATCTTATGCATAAAATTTCAAGTTATTAAAGCAAAATATTTTGCCGAAAAATAATGGCTCAAGGTAAAGATTGAAGCTTTTGGGCTTGCTTTTATTCATTAGAACTTGTAAAAGATTATGCCAAAATAAAAATCTGCCAAAGATGTTTTTTACGAAAATAGGGAATATGAGCGAAAAAAATAAAAATTGAAAAGCAATATATTTAATTATCAAATAACGAGGAACAAAGAAATTTAAATATGTATCGTATCTTAAAAAATTAGAAATTTATAGTTGCATTATCCAAAAAAAAAAAAAATTTATAATTACATGACGTAGAGTGCAGGAGTTATACCGATACTTATATCTTTATATGATTGGTTAGTCTTTTATAGAGAAACTATCGGTCAATGAAAGCTATTAAATTAAAATTTTGTACCTATTAGGAAGTGTAGAAGATGACACAAGGTATGTGTAGTGTATTTTTATAAGAATAGTAAAATAGTCATATTAATTAAAAACTTTAATATTGTTAAAGAGATACTTGGATGAAAAAAATCACATGAGGGTAAATGATAAAACAAAAAAGTGGGGATATTTGAACTTTTTCAAAAAAAAAAAAAAAAACTAACAAATTCATAAAGCAATGGCAACTTAACACGGTAATAGAGGTTATTGAGATTACTAAATAAAAGATTACGATGTAAAAGATAAAAAAGATATAATAAGAGTAAATAAAAAATAATTTGATATGATATAAAAGAAAAAATACAAGTTTTTGTTTACATCAATATAGATTTTGTTATGGATTGGATCCATATCCTAACAACCTATCCAACAAGGGATAAGGCTTATTTGAATAATATCCTAGATAAAAGATGATTAAGGAAGTGCACTCCTACTAGGATTCTAAACAGAGGTAACCCCTTCTATAAATAAAGGGTAAAGTCTCTCAGGTACACACTTTTTAATTGATATACATACTGTCAACATTGTGCACACACACTCTTTGGCTATACGCCCATTCTGAATGCACAATAATTCTGTAATTGGTATATTGGCTAGAGCTAATTAGATATCTCTCTTATTGATATCTCTAAGCACATACCTATACGATAGAACATTATGTTACAGTTTTTTATTTTTATTATTTTATGAATTGTTGGTTTGTTTAAATAGTGGGTAGGTATTTTGTTTGTTTTGTTATTTGAATTTCAACTTTAGGCATTAACTATTAGGGGAGCCTATCTAATGTTAGTGGGAAGTTACTTTATTGACTTGTACGAGCTATTTAAACCTTGAAATATTTGAATAAAGATTATAAGAAGAATTATTTGAAAAAAGACACAGTGAAAAAGGTCAGGCTTCCTTGATAAAGCCAAATTCTCATTTTTATTTATTGTGTTCGTAACACATTCACAGTCTACAAGGACCGAACATTGGTGCCGTCTGTGGGGAAATAGTAAATTTCGATTCCCACTTCATGATGACGAACACACGTGGAACAACTGACAACTCAACCCCTGCCACAATACCAGTCTGCGAGTAACCACCTCCAGGATCTCAGCAATCCAATACTAGTGGAAGTCAGGTAGGCGAGGCAGGAACTGAGTCAATGTCGATCACAACTCGAGGCAACTTCGTGCCGGATCAGGCACGCCAGCCTCCACGGGATGAGTAGCCTGAAGCTGACAACAACATTGTTAATACCTCCTTAAATGCAATCCTATTAAGGATACAGGATATGGAGAACAGATTCTAGCGCAACAGCGGCAGGATGGTCAAAGGATCGAAGCCCTAGAAATCGGGATGCAGAACCAAGATATCAATGGCCGAGCTGGGCATGCAGAAAACAAAAGCTGAGATGGAGGCCAAGGTAATGGTCGGGATGCCAACCATGATGGCCAAGATGTCGACGACCTCCAAGATGACGAGGACGCAAATGATAGCCCATTCACTGAGAGGCTGATGAACATGACGATCCCACTGAGGTTTAAGAAGGCCAAAATACTGCCCTATAATGGTGGTCAAGATCTTGATGCCCACCTGGAAGCCTTCAAGACGGAGATGCTTTTCAACATAATAACTGGACCTATTAAGGCCAGAATTTTTGCAACTACTCTAACAGGTCAGACAATGACTTGGATCACGAGACTGCCCAGACACACGATTAATTCATTCGAGGAACTTGCTCACACATTTCGTCTGAATTTTACCACAAGGCACATCATATGCCGACCTATGCTCTAAGATGGATTCAGCAAAGAGGAGGAGAAACATTGAGAAAATATCTCGATCGTTTCAAGGAAGCCTCTCTCAAAGTGATATAAGTTAATTCAGGCAGTTCATCTGCACTTGATTATCTCAGGAATGGATAGAGAATCACCTCTAGCAAAATCCATATACAAGAGCTCGGTTAATGACTTGAAGAAATTCAAAAGAAGGTCGAAAAAATACATAGATGTGGAGGATATGCAACGCGCCTACAGTGAGGACCGAGACTGAAACCCTAGTCACCAAATCCCGAACAAGAAGTACAGGGACAAAGATCAGCAAGGACCTAACAAGGTGGTCGAACCTTACAATAAAAGATCAAAAGAACGCTCCTCGAGACCCAAATTCAACAACTATGCACCTCTCAATGTATCCCATCCCGATCTCGGATCTGGAGAAAGGTTGCCCAAACCGAGCTCCAAAATATAGAGAGACTAAGGCCCATCAAAAACAAAGGTGGATTGGACCGCACCAAATATTGTGCCTTTCAGAATGGTAACGGTCATACCACTGATGAATATTGGGACCTCCGAGATGTCATTGAGAAGCACATCAGAGAAGGAAAACTAAAGCAGTGTCTCATCCGGACTTAAGGAAAGAAAAACAACAAACATCGGCAAAAAAGTCAAAGCAAGAGCCCGAGTCCAAAAAAGGAAAATAAACGGGACCGGGATACAGATGATCACGTCAGAAACAAGATGAAGAGTACCAAGAGGCCGAGTTTGACTGCAACATAATAAGTGGAGCACTTGGAGGCGAAGGTGACACTGCTAGTGCAAGGAGAAAATACCTCAAGGAAGTCTTGTCAGTAATAGACAGACCGGTTTTCAAAGAGAAGGGAGACAAACCAGAACTCCCAAGGTTGTTTTTTACCAGAGATGATATGGAGAAGGTGGTCCCAGGACATACAAATGGGTTAGTGATTACTGGGATGCTTGTCAACTGCCGAGTTAGAAGAAGGTTTATAGACCCTGGAAGCTCAGCTGACATCCTCTTCTGGAATGCATTCCAGAAGATGAACTTGGATTAGCAGGACTTGAAACCTAGCATAACCGACCTGATAGGATTCAATGGAGAACAATCTCCCCCCAAAGAGTACATAGATCTCAAACTCACATTGGGAACAAGAGAGGCTTTCCAAGCTGGCAAAGTCCGCTTCAATGTGGTCGATGCAACCTCATCCTACAATATAATACTTGGCCGCCCTACAATCCACGATTGGGACATGCTGGTCTCAACCAAGCACCAAGCTTTGAAAATGGTACGGTCAAAAAACAATGTCGTCACTATCAAAAGAGATCAGAAAGAAGCCATAAACTGTTATTATAAAACGCTCAAGGTAACTCAGGGCGGACCATCTTCCCCCCAGAAACAGAAAAAAGCCAGAGTGTTATTAACGAAAGGTAGCATACAGCAAAAACAGAACTAACGTAATCCAAGTTACTAAAGGCATCTGTATCAATAAATCAATCTGCAAACTACAGGCATACAATTTTAAAAATTGGTCTACGGAAACATGAATTCTTAATGCACAAAAAATAGTTTCAATTGAAACACAATCTGGGCAACATCTTAAAAAAATAATAGGCAAAATTTTCCAACCAATTATGGACGATATAGATTATGGAAGTTGTGCACAATGAACTCAAATTTGCAGGACACCAGCTGCAAGCATAATTTAAAGTAATGCTATGGCTGTTAGCTCCTCCAAAATTACGCAGCAAATGTATTAATTTCCGCCTCATGCTACAAAAATCGATTTCATATACAATTAGGAAAAGCTCGACTAATAGGCAGAATATCTCCTACTGTAGAACCTTTTATTCTTCATTGTTTTGATTGGTCCCGAACAAGGGAAGAAAAGATTGAAAGGATAAAGTTCTCAATTATGGCAAAGTAGCTCTAACTTCTTTCCTATCAGCACCACAAGCCTGCAATTCAGAAGATCACGAACCATAAGAGTTGAATAAATACACAATCATCTTAAAAACCGGGGATCCTGTCCTTTTGCTTACTTTGAGACTTGAACTGTCCTAAAACTAACAATCGATTCTTCTGTAAATTAGAAAGTCTTTCCTTTATAATTCCAAGTATCTACAGTAATTTTTTCCTCAATTATAAGCAAAAGACTGCTGAAGCTGTCATATATAATTTGATTTGCTTATACTCAAATTCATGTAATACCTGGTATTTTTTATGAGATGAATGAAAGAATAATCAGTAAGTAGGGATGAAATAATCAATTACCTCAATCCCAAAACCTTTAACATATACATTGGTAAATAATTCAGATGGCTCTGGCATTTGACACTCCTGGAAATCATAAAAGAAAACAAAGAACTCTGAGATTGGAAACAATATACAGCAACTACAGGAGATGTGAAGATCTGGAAACCTAAATTTGTACGAGAAGAATAAGAGATATGGTTTCACCTTTGCTTTGGCGATGGTTTCATCAACTTCTTTTCTTATTTCCTTTTCAATATCCTATAGAAAGAAGGTGCATTTTTAGCATTAAATTCCAATGTTTTATCAAAATAATATGCTAAGAACTCTGATATCTTATAATAAAATATGGAGGAAGACCTCTGTAATTCCTCTAAAACAGAAGCACAACAAGAACAAAAATGAAAGAAAAATGGAAAATGTCAGACACTACAGACTCTTCGAGGTATCTGCTTCCTCCCCTATCCAAAGTCCCCTATCCTCAGAATAACTAAATGCCTTCCCTCTCTCTGCTTTACATGATTTTCTCTCAGAATCCACACCTCTCACCTTCCTAACTCCTTGCCACTTGAAAATTCTGTTATGCCAGTAAGTGACTATTCCCTTTAGCCTCCAAACTGTCCATGTGTTGATCCAGTGCCTTATTGGCCTTACTCCCCTGCATTTCTTATATTATTCATTGCCTAACATAAGATATATCAAGACAAATGTGGGGTAAAAAAAATAAGGGTTAGGAAAGTTACTGTTTGTCCCTGCGATGTGGGGCACACAAGTTCCCCCCCCCCAACTCACTTTCTCTCTCTTCTGTATTGTGTTTACAGGAATGTTACTTTTATTCCTGTAACGTTACGGATTCATTTCCCAAAAAATAAAAGAAAAAAAGAAAAACAGAATCCAATGGGCAGAAAATTTGTGGAAAAACTTAAGAAAATCATGACAAATCATTCATGATAGACAAAATCGGTCATTTTCATCCGGTACATAGCAGAAGTAATTATAGGCAGAATAAAGCTCAAATGAACAGTAACTACCATAATAAAAGTCTACCAACCCACAAGGTAGTCTACGAGGACTCCAATTCCATGACTACAATTCTAATATAGCCAAAATATTATGAAAACAAAGACAAGTATAATTTCATAGAAATATAATCTGAAACAGTTTATTCAAACCTAGATGCACTAAATCACAATAAAGAAAATTGTTTCTAATCATGAACTTGAAAAAATTAATGCCAGGAAAAAAAATGATCTTAGATATCAAGATAGCAGTAAGAGTATTTTATACAAAACAAACACATCGCATTTCACAATTGAAAGGATCGAGCATAAATAAAATTTTCATTCAATCACCTTTAGCTCCTTTTCAGCAGCAATCTCATGAGTCAATAACAGCTTTCTTACTCTCTCAATTGGATCACGCTCCTATAATCATATTGGCCAAGGTATAAATTGAGAATGAACTCCTCAATATTAATTAAACTAAAAGGGAGTTTGATGCTGGTGATAGTCATATATACCTGTCTCACACCAGAAATCTCATCACGCGTACGGTATGTGCTGCCAGGATCAGACATGGAGTGGCCATGGTATCTGTACGTGTCCATTTCAAGAATCTAGACAGAATAATAAAGGTAGATAAGTCAATCATAATCTACCAGAGAATAAACTTTGATAATGTAACCAAAAGCAATTCCAGCAAGTTTTGAAATTTGGCTATTTGTATAATACAAAAATTCTTTTCATCTAAGATACTCTAAATTACTAAGATACAATTAAGATATAGTGGAATATTTTTCATATATTCTAACACTCCCTCTCAAGCTAAAACTCACTAAACTTTAAGCTTGTTGCAAATGAACCCTTTAAAAAAAGAAAAAATAACCATAAAATATAATCTAGTTCCACAAAACATGGCTATGCTAGGAGATGTTGCAGAAATAAGCATTGCTAGAAAGTTAATTCAACAAGATGGCTGGAATGATCATTAACTTGGAAAGCTAGTTGAAATGTTGCATAACCAAGGAAGAAGAGACTTCATTGGAATGATCATTAGAGGAAATTTTCTGATAAGCAAAGACGCATAACAAGAACTAAAATTTCTCAAAATTCATTACGAACAATATTTGGAAGCTTCAAACCACTACCTAACATAGGAGACCAAAAAATAATAATAATAATAATTTAAAACTGAGGCTGGTGTGCATCACTACCATGAGGAATTTATCTTCAACATGATTCATTAGTGAGATAGGAGAAATCACCATTGGTTTGATTCACAATGGGAGCCTAGTATGAATTATAGCCAATTCACAAGTAATTCATCACTATATGACTAATTGGTAAAAAAAAAGTCATGGAAAAGTCATTAGATGGCGAGATGAGGTTAGTTCAGCCTAAACCACTAGGGCTGTTCATCATCCGATTCAAACCGCAGTGACCGAACCGAAAAACCAATAACCGAATTAACCAAAAACTAAAAAACCGAAAACCCAAAAAAAAAAAATTGTATATTTTAATTGAATTAGATCAGTTTTCGGTTTAGTTGGTGAAAATCGATCTAATGCATGATGTATTTATTATTTTTGAAATTCCGCTAATGTCATTTTCCGTAATTCAGTAACCCTTACTCAATTACTCTCTTAGTAGGGGTTTAAATAGGCTGGGTCGGGCTAGACTTTAACTTAAATAGATCAAACTTGTATAAAATACTTTAGATTTGGCCTGGTCTGTTAGTCTATGTAGGCCCAAATTATAAGTCCGGTTTGTCCTATTTTAAAAAACAAGGCCTAGGCCTATTAGGCATTCAATAATTTAAAAAAATAATTAAAATAATATTACTTTATCATTCAAAATCATTAAAATAATAATTTATTTATTTTATTTAAAATAAATAATATGATATAGGTCGGCGTGCATGCTAACAGGCACGGCATGTTAAGGAAAGCCTATAACCTACTTTCTAAATAGGCTTTTTTTGAGACCTGTGTGTATTCTATTTGACTTTATGTAATAGGGTGAGCCTGGCCTGATGTAGATCAAGCCGTAAGCCCCTGTTAGTGTTAGGCCAACTGACCCTAGCCTGATGTAGACCTAACCAAAGGCCCCTGTTAAGCCGGCTGACCCATTTACACCCCCATCTTAGTTTCAAACCCTAGAGTATCAAACCCTAGAGTAGACTATTCCTAAATTCACACCCACTCGCGTTGCACCTCCTATGTCGGAAGAACCCACTTTCGTTCCAGAATCCAAAGGCTCCCTCCACCGCGTTGTTGCTGTCGTCCCTTTCGTTTCCTCTGTGCAACAAGCTCACACTAACTCGCATCCTCCATTGCCGCCGTCCCATAAAGAATCGACTTTCTGTTGTCCCTTTCTGCTACAATATTTTATTATAAATATTTTACATATTTCTCCAAATACAGAAGTTGATGATGATTCTGGTGCAGATTCTGATTAAAAGTTGATGACGTAAGTTGCTATTTTTTAATTTCAATTGTTTATGTATTTATTTTAAATGTGTTGTTGCTTGAACCCTTTCTTAATCTCTTATTTTCATGAAAGTTGTTGTCTTGCTGGTTGTTCTTAAGACCACAAAGGGAGCATTGAGCAAGCTAAAAGAGTGAAGTATGGAAGAGAAAGATGGTGACTTGGAATCTTAGATGTTATTGATCGCAAACTACCTTGTTTAGTTTTTTATTGTCTATTACACTATTTTAACTATTCATAAGTTTTAAGACTTGTTTTAGTTTGAAGGAATTTTCCAGTGGTTTGTAACTTTGTATGGCTTCATTTTGACATAGCTAGTGATTTGTATGACTGATATTTTAGGTTTTGCGAAAAACTGAAAAACCGATCCAATCCAAACCGAATAAAATTGGATTGAATCAGATTTGAAAAAAAATCCAAACCGAAGGGATTGGATCAGATGATTTTAACCAATCCAATCCAGACCGCGAACACCCGTATAAACCACTGATTGGCCAATCTGGAGGAGAGTATGATGGTGTTTTTGTCAGCCAGAAAATTGTTGGATAGTTGTGGACAATGAAGATGAGGCTGCCGAAAAGCTGACATAGCAACAAAATGAACCGATTTAAGGAGGTGCAAAAGCAGAACAAAATAGACGACTATTCTAAAGGAAGAAAGTCATCATAGAATCAGGTAGAGGTCCAGATTTTAGGAAACTAAGCAACATAATAGTGACAGGACAGATCACGGAGGATTATACAGCTCAATACTATGTTGAAATTATAGGGATTTAGAAGGGAAGGAATAAAAAAGAGAAAAAAGAATGAATAATTAGAAATTGATATTGATATTGATATTGATTTGATATGAAAGAAATCTTATAAAAGACAAAGCACTAAGCTCTATTTATATTAATTGAAGACTCATAATCCTACTTAAATTTGGAAACAAATCATGAAACATATGGAAACCAATCCTATGAGATAATTTAAGATACTCTAAATTACTCTATAAGATACAATCAAGATATTATATATTCTAATAGAAAGTTCAGCACTATGTCAAGGACCAATTCTCCTATAAGCTTAAGATGTTAAGTGAAGTCTCGTGATTGATTTATGCTTCTAACATGACACTTCAAATTTTTCCATCCGTCCACGTTCGTCTTGCACTCATGTCCATACTTCTTAGCTCAGGTCATGTCCTATGGTTCATGCAAATAATTTCTATTAAATTATGACTATAACAACCCAGTACAAGACCGGATTGGATTAAATGTTCCCACCTAATCAACAAGTCAATTGGAAGAGCAATACTTGCTTGCAGCAGAAAAACCCAACTAATTCCCATCTTCTATGCACATAATATGCCTCAATTCAAAGAAATTCACTTACAAATGAGTGAGCTTCTTCCCATATTGAATCAGCAATCAGCACCAAAAAGGGGGAAAAAAAGAAAGAATAGAATACCCTGATAATTGACATGTAAAACATATGCCTACTTCAAAAGCATAGACACCGAGAATTAAAAAAAAAATTACTACTTCACTTTTATCCCAAAAAGCAGGCAAATATTAAAATCAGTCAGCAAAAGCATATGCCCACGTTAAGGTGAAACACAAGTCAGATACATCAAACGAATAAAGAATGTGCACATTGCCAACAGCAGAAAACCATATATTTTATCCAGATGTACCAACATTAAAGGATGGCATATTAATATTTACAAAATCTATAGCCCTAAATCTAGTTTGATAACTAATACAAAATTAATGGTTAATTGCACCCTCTAAAGATTTCTAAGAAGCATTTGCAGATGAATAAATATCTAGAGCATTCTTGTGGCCCTAAAACTAATCAGGTCTCCAATAAAATAACCATGTTGATCCCTCCTAATCTAAAGAGTTCTGTCAAGCTTTTGCGGACAAACTATCAACCCATAACATCCATTACTAAATGCTAATAATAAATTTTAGAAAGAAATACAAGTATAAATAACTGCAAGTAAATTTACTAACAAGGGGACCATTCTTCAAAGCGTGCTCCTTAGCAAATTTGCAAGCTTGTTTCACTGCAAGAGCATCCATGCCATCAACCTGTACAAAGTATAAATAAATATATCTATAACAGTTTAAAAAGATTGTTGACGAAAATACTACAATGTATATTCAATTAGCACATGTATATAGACAGAGACAGACATGCATACACTTACACCTGCACATCGATAAAATATGTATTCAAACAAAGATTGTAAAGAACCTATATGCACAACTGAAACACACTTACATATAACTTGCATAGTTCTACATATGCAGACATGAAAGCATGAAAATAGGAATATTGCCCGAGGAAGGAGCCAAAAAGTAGGGTCCACAGAAGTATCAACAAAAAACAAGAAATAACACAATGCATATCATGTCCATCCTTCAAAATCTCATTAAGAATTTACATACAAAGTAAGTAAAATCAAGCAATAAGCATACAATGCAAAATATTGTAATGGCATTCACATAATACATCATGTTAATATTTGACAAGATCTTCATCATATTAAATCATTAAATTTTCGGAAACACATCACATGAATTGTATAAACTGCAATCCCCACGCTTACAATCCCAACTCCAACCCCAACTTTATGCTATAAGAATGGGGAGATAGTCCCCGACCCCACCCAGCACACTTCCCTATTTTGAACTGAGATGGAAGAGCGATTACTTTCCTCAACCAGCATAATAATCAATCATTTCAAATACACTTACTAACTGGTAACTACTACCTTGAAGATGACATTAACATTAAAAAGCCATTCCTCAAGTTATCCACCCCCCCCCAAAAAAAAAAAACAACTCAATGGATGTAGCTCACAGGTTGAGTAGGTGAGGAGAGAACCTAGGTTCGATTCCCACCAAATACATGTTTGGGGAGAGGGGCGAAGCCTCGACTCAGGATTAGTATCATAACCGACTCAAAGAATTGAAGCTTATGGGAATACTAGTCTCAAAGAGTTAATTAGTGTCAGTATACCAAAAACAAAAAACAAAAAACAAAAACCAACAACTCCACACCAGTATACAAAATTTCTTAATCACTCTCACCTTCAATCCAGGAACATAATCCCCACGCTTGTAATAAGAAGGACTCTTAGCAGCTCTCCACTCAGCAGTCCCCATCCCATCTGTCACACAAACCAAACGAATTCAAATCAAATCAAATCAAACGAATCAAAATCCACAGAACGACGTCACATTAACCAAAACTATACAAGCACTGACAATGATTATTCTCGCAAACCAAAATAGCAGGTAGATCCCAAAGTGCAGCAATGTTAAGTGCCTCAAACAACTGTCCCTGATTAGCAGCACCATCACCATACATAGAAAAAGTAACATTCTCATCCTTAGAATACTTCTGAGCAAAAGCCAAACCACAACCAAGTGGAACCTGAGCACCAACAATGCCATGTCCACCATAAAAACCACCTTCCTTTCTATAAAAATGCATGGAACCACCTTTTCCTCTTGAGCAACCATCGCGTCGACCCATGAGCTCCGCGAAAACCTCAAGTAGGGTTCCGCCGCGGCTCAAGAACGTGCAATGGTCGCGGTACGCCGTGATGATGCAATCCTTTTTGGTTATCGCCGCATCCATCCCCACCGCCACCGCCTCTTGCCCGTCGTAGAGGTGGCAGAACCCGCGGATCAGCTTCGCCTTGTAGAGCGAATCCGCCGCGATCTCCATCCGCCGCATCATCGCCATGTCGCGGAAGAACGACATGAGCTCCGCAGGTGTGGTCTCCACGGAGCGTGACGGAGCATCGCAGTTGTGGGCGGTGAAGGGAATCGAGGTCTCCACCGTGAGTGTGTCGGAGGAGATCGAACGACGTCGCAGAGATAAGAAAGCTGAGACTGGTTTCAAGAGACTAGATCCACATGATGATGAAGAAATGCGCGATAGAGCCATTTCGATTAGTTACCCCAAAAAATCAATTTCAAAAATGAAAATCGAGTTTTTATTTTTTTATTTTGGTTTTTTTAAAACGAATTCTGGAAAGTGTTAGAACTTAGAAGAGGAAAATGGGGTTGTTGTATTTGTAAGAGGTTATATAGTGTTAGTTAGGTGAAGAAGGGTGAAGGGAAGGTAGGAAGAGTGAAGAGTTGGCACAAAAATGAGGGATTTGTTCATTTCTGAAAGCATAAAGGCGTGTATGACTTTTGTAGTTTCAGTTTTTTTAGAAGTGATAGTTAATTCTTTGTCGTTTTGTGTCACCACTTTTCTTCAATAAAATTAAAAAAAAAAAAAAAAAATCGTTCGCGCATGCAATATTGGAAATGCAATTGGTTTGCTTTTATTTTTTTTTAATTTCTAAAATTCTTAACCGCTAATTTTTATCATTCTTTTATTTGAGTGAGATTTTCTAATGTTCTTCGCGTTGCAATGACATTGGCTGCTGGCTGCATCATTGCTCTTTATTTTATTTTATTTTTTAGGACTTATGATCGTATTTTAATTAGACTGAAAACGTATCAAAAGCTAATATTTTATAGTGTTATTATCAATCTCATTATAAATTTATTTTATCGTTAGATCGATTATATTGATTCAACGGTTATATTTAGTTTCATTTTTGTATGGATACGATTAGGGGTGAAATTGGGTCGGGCCGGCCTACGGCTTGGCCTACGTCAGGCCAGACCTGACCTAGAGCCTGTTTGGATCCTCTTATTTTTAAGCTAGAAGCTACTTATAAGATAAAGCGAGAATAAAGAGCTTAAAAAAAGAAGCTAAAAGCTGTTTGGAAATTACAAAAAAAAATTAGCTTAAAAATTACTTAAAAGCACATATTTCAAAAAAATTGTCTCTTTTTCTATCTTTATCACTCTTCATTTAAAAAAAAGCACACAATTCAAGAAAAACAGATAAGAGCTTAAAAAAAAAGCTCCTCCTAGGAGCTTTTAATTTTCAGCTTTTTCTTCATTATAAAAAAAAGAGATTTTCGTTATAAGAGCTTTTTCCAAAACCGGTTTGGCCTAGCTTATGCTTATAAGTAGCTTCTAGCTTAAAAATAAGAGGATCCAAACAAGCACCTAGTATATTTCGTAAAATAGGTCGGACTTGGACCTTGAAAAAGCTTGTTTAATAAAAACAAGCGCGTTATTCAATATAAGCCTATTGGTCGACCTATATTGTACAATTTATTTTAAATTAAATAAAACAGAATAAATATGCTTTGAAAAAAAAACAAAAGATATAAATTTAATCAATTGCAATTATTTAACTTAATTATATTCGATTATATTTTAATAGAAATCTGACTTTATTTGTCATGTAAGAGGAACCAACATCTCTGCCCGTTAGATTGTATATATGAATATATTAAAAAGTTTTTGGAAGAGGTTATACTTACTACAAGTATCATGATGTGTTTGTTAGATTCATGTAATTATTTTAATTTACATAGTATGGATTTGTTTATTAGATCTAATTAAATATATGTTATTTAATTTGAGCATTTTGTTTTTGAAAATGACTTAAATGCAGATTGTATGAGTTTTGTTGTGATTCGTGATTTTGTTTAGATGTTGAAATTATGATTTTTGGTTTAACAACAGAATTTGAGTATTTTGTAAAGTTGATTCATGATTCTGCTTGGAAGTTAAAAATTAACAGGTTAACGGGTTATGTCAGGCTGTTTATTTTTTTATAAACGGGCCAAGTCAGGCTAACAATTAGACTTATATTAGGCTTGAGTCAGGCCAAATTAAAATTTTTTAACTTAAGCTTGAGCTTTTCGGGACAAAGCTTGGCCCAGCCCAGCCCACTTTCATACCTAGTTATAATTTTTCATATTTAATACTTTTACATTAAATATGAGGAATAATAACTATACAAAGTTAAAAATAAATACAAATTATTAAATATAGGGAGAAAAAATAAGATTTTTAGAAAGTTAAATAAGAATCATTGGATCAACATAATCGATCTAACGGTGAAACACAAATTGATAGTGACTCAAAATTCAGTGAACAAAACTTTATATTTAAAAAGAGTTTAACAACTCCTGTAACCAAGTTCCAAAAAGTTAAAAAAAAAAAAAAAAAAAAAGGTTAACAACTCCTAAATAGAAATATAGAGACCTCGCGCTAGAGTTTTTTTCTTCATGACATAACTAGAAGAAGATATTATACATTCGATTTGGGAAAAATAGAAATAGGATTTAAAAAAAAAAAAACAAATAAGACCGGGTTATTGGTTAAAAGTTGACCCGATTCAGATCCGGTATTCAGTTGCAGATCTTCCATTCGTGTAATTTGAGTTTCGAATCATCATCTCGGCGTTGAAGCAGGACGAGCAGAAAGCTTGACCGACCGGTCAGTACATGGCTGGGTTGGTTATGACATGGTTTTAAAATGTTGATTTGGTGATCAGTGTGACTTACTCTGGTGAGTAATGAGCTCGCCAAGCGTCTTTGTATGATTTGTTGAACCAGCACCAGTTGCTATTGTCTTTGTTCGAGCAGGATCTGCGAAATAGTGGAGGATCGTCATATGCTTCCAGTCTTCTTGAGTCTGGTGTAGTCTACGCTCTTTGAAATGCTTGCTGGTCGGAAAAAGGTTAGATGAGCTCGTGAAAAACCATGGTTGGATGAGCTGTAGCTACTCTAAAATGCACCTGGCTTATAAACATCAAAAGCTGAATCGAAAGATGAAGTCGATCCCGCCAGAATAATTAGGATTTGTCAACTGACCGGAGAAGAGTGAGAGGCGATGGGTATACAACTGCTGACCGTCTGAAACTCTTTGTGTGAGGTCCTTCATTGTTAAAAATTTGCTTGAAGATTTGACATATTATCAATCTCTCGAGGGATACCACCAGAAAGATTATTCACATCGAGGTGCAAATCACTTAATTCAGTCGAAATTGTAATCTCTTTTGTTAGTTTTGCCTCGTTGCCTTAGATCTGGGAGTTCTGGCATTCTTTTCTTTTCTTTATTGGAGATCTGGTTTCTGACTTATTTTGCTTCTTTTTGGTAGATATGAATTATGACTTCTTCTCTTCATTTTGTAGATTTGGATTTTGGTGTTCTTCTCTTCTTTTTGTATATATGGGTTCTGGATTCTTTTCTTCTGTGTTCTGGTTCTTTGTTCCGTGTTCTAGCTCTTTGTGAGTCTGGTTAGCGTTGGTCTGGGTCTGGCACTCCTTATAAAAGACTTGAAGCATGGCTTTGTGGTTGAATAAATGACTGAGGAGTCTTTTGTATACAATCTTGCTCGGTCAAAACAAAGGAGTTGTTGTCTTTCAATAGCTCTCAACAGAGAAGAAGAAATCAAAGTTTATCGTTCCCCACAACGCCAATGAACTGGAGCGTTCATAGATGTACCCTTGGAGATTGTAGTATGTTAATATAGGGGTATTCTTAGTAGCAATGGTAGAGTCCAAAGCTCTAATGAAGCTTCTCACGGTGCTGTACATAAAAAGAGGAGTGTGTGTGAATATGGCTAAGGTGATTCTCCATTGTAGCCGAGTAATAGCATGAAGGGTTGCATCCTGTTCCCACTCATTCTAATGTGTGAAAGAGGTCTTTTTAGAGAGGGGATGCCTCTTTGTAGAGGTGGAGAGTTGTCACCTATAACCAGCCTAGCCTTTTCAAGCTAGCCATACGAAACCCACTGCTACTCTGCAGAGGCAGCTATGCATGGGAAAGAGAAGGGATCTTATTCTACCCTCTAGAAAGATTTAGAAATGGACTTTAAGAGTGGGCCCAACTGGTGGGCTTGTAAACATGGGCCAACCAGAACAGAAGTAATGTTTTGCATTTTTAGGTAGGTAGTTCGCGAAGTTTTGCTTTTATGTTACGTTATAGACAACTGCGATGATTGTGAGTTAGGCGGTGCACAAAGTAGCCATGTGTCAACCCATTGAGCATTGTTACAAAACGTGTTTTGGGCGGGCTTTTTAGGTTGTATAATTGATCTAAAACACATTCCAAACTTTTTGGTAAATAAACATGCATGTTTTTCATCCTAATTCTATGGTTGGAGGTATTTGATTCGATCTTTTTACGTAGTAGTATGTCTAATCTATAATCTAACGTAGGGATATTAAAAGAGTCAGGGGTCTTTGGCTTGACTCATATAGACATGACCTGATCTGTATGTTTTGGTTGTTGGATTTAGACTTAGACTTTATATAATAAAAAGGTCTCAAGCTCCAATTCAAAAGCTCGGCCTTAAAGCCTATCAAGTTGACCTACTAACTCTCTCTTTTTTTATACTAACCTAATTTACAAATGGTAAGCCTTTGTTTTCCACTTATTTACAATCAAAATTTGATGCCAAAGTTAAGCATTAATTTGCAGTGCAAATTGGTTATGTAATAAGTATGACATAAAGAAAAATATAAAGTACTAATTTACTTAATTTAGATTATTTTATATCTTATGATATTATAATTGAATGTCAAAAATAATTTGACATTTTTTATAAAAAGGAGGCAACATCGCATTATATTATACTGTTGATATGAATATATTAAAAGGAGGCAACATAAAGCATTAAATATGAAAAATCATAACCATACAAAGGTGAAAATAATTATAAAATATTAAATATGAGGAATCATAACTATACAAATATGAAAATAAATATAACCGTTGGATCAACATAATCGATCTAACGGTGAAATTGATTGGTAGTAACATTAATTGGTTGTTACAATATCCTTCCCCTACAGAATGGGGTAGGATATTGTAACAACTAATTAGTGTTACTACCAATCAATTTCACCGTTAGATCGATTATATTGATCCAACGGTTATATTTATTTTCATTCTTGTGTAGTTATGATTCCCCATATTTAATGTTTTCTCCCATATTTAATGTGCAATCATTAAATATGAGAAATCATAATCATACAAAAGTGAAAATAATTATAAAGTACTAAATAAGAGGAATCATAACCATACAAATATGGAAATAAATATAACCGTTGGATCCACATAATCGATCTAACAGTGAAATTGAATGGTAGTAACACTAATTGGTTGTTACAATATCCTACCCCATTCTGTAGGGGAATGATATTGTAACAACCAATTAATGTTACTACCAATCAATTTCACCGTTATCGATTATGTTGATCCAACGGTTATATTTATTTTCATTTTGTGT